GTGATATTTGACTTTTTCGTCGTGATATTTGATTTGGTTGAAGACACATTATTTGATTTGTTCGTGAATATATTCGATTTATTCGTGCAAAATTATTTGATTTATCCGAGGAGGCTATTTGATTTATTGGTGGAGTATTATGTGATTTATTCGTGGATATTGTTTGATTTGTTCAAGGAGGCATTGGTTGATATATTTGAGGAGAATTATTTGATTCGTTTGAGGAATTATGTGATTTATTCGAGGAGGCTATTTGATATATTTGTGAGGATTATTTGACCAATTTGTGAAGCATTATTTGATTTGGCTGAGGGGAATTATTTGACTCGTTCAACGAAATATTGAAGTTTTTTGTGGAGTACTATTTAATTTATCATGGAGCTTATTTGATTAATTTGTGAAGATTATGCGATTTCTCCATGGAAATTATTTGACTTATTTGAGACAATTATTTGATTGTTCGAGAGATTATTTGATTTGTGCGTGGATACATTTGATTTTATCGTTGGATTATTGGATTTATTTGTGGATGATTATCTAATCTGCTCGAGGGATTATTTGATTTGCTCGTTGATGTATTTGATTAAAAATAAATGCGGGGCGTGATTTTGAATTGAGGGCATTTTAGGATTGTGTTTATCGTGTTTTTGGTGCACTTATCGATGAACTCGAGTAGGTGGATTAAAACTATATGATTCAATATCTTGATATATCCGGAGCCTATGATTTGGATTTCATGTGAAAGTGTGAATTCTGTTGAAATAGATTATTCAAAATTTTTAAGCATGTTATTGCTCGAACATGTTTTAAATTGAGGAGATGATGATTTTTGTATTTGATCTATTGTTTATATTGCGTGGAGCATTGAAAAATTGATAACATGAATATAATGTGGATAATGATATCTCTGTGAATTCTTGCCGAGGAAACAACGAAATAACATGAGTTGGGACAAGCTATGGTAGACGAGCTGAGAGTTTCGAGGACAAAATAAACGATAGCGCCAATTGCCGATGGGAATTTCAAAGGCAGAATCGTTCTCGTTTGGAGAGGTAGGATAGCGGCGTTATCGACCTTCAGGTATAAACTTTTGTGAGCGGTCAAGTTCGACCGACGCAATATATTGAAACATTGAATCTCTTAGCGTACTTTTTTGGAGAAATGTTCATTTTCTTTGGATATTCTGGGCGAAATGTTGCTAGATTGTGGTGTATATGGATATGTTTAGAATTATTATCCAGGTGACTAACAAAATGCCGAAAATGAGGTGTTTGTGGAGGCTTGAACAAAAATCTGGCATGACTAAGGCCTCCGGGCTGGCCAGTTTCGAGTCGTCATGACTATGGAGCTCGATATTGGGGGTAATTTATCTCAAATTTCATTTGGTGCATTCGTTTAATGGTCATTTGTGGCTGCAGGGTATGATTTACCGTAATTGTTTGTTGAATTCATGGTTGTGTGAAATTCTGGTCGACTGTACATGGGAGTGGATGTTTAAGTGATTGCATACCGTGTTAAAGTGGTTTTCATGTAAATTGAGGTGTGGTATAAAACCATGTGGACCAATGTGATTGCCTTGATTTATTAATCTCTTGTCATGGTTGCTATCGGGATTGCAAATGGGATGATGTGGATAAAATACGACTAATGAAATTGTTGAATTCTTGCTGAAGAAAATACACGAACAGGAGGATTGGTTATCTACGTATACTGCATGGTTGCAGTGAGGAGTGGACAGCGGGAAGTGAACGACAACACATGTCGTCATGCACAAACATGAAAGGGAGGTCGAAAAATATACTTGATTTATTTTATCTTGTTCGATATAACTATACATTTGATGAGGCTAATGAGAATGATCGATTACAATTCTATCTCGTGGTGTTTGGTGTGTTTTCTTGTCGACTTCAGCGGCAGGTCGAAGTGTTCGATCAGTTCGAAAGGGAAAAATCCACCATGACTAAGGCCTCCGGGCCGGGTGGTCGCATGTATCGACCACTCCTTCGAGGGTGGGCATGTGTTCGAAGACAAAAA